CGGCACGCGGGGTTCATAAGCCGGCCACCACGCCCACCAGCCCGCCCCTCAGCCAGCCCAATCCGACCGGCGAGCACATGGCAGCCTCACCTCGGCAATTTGACGAACCGGCCCCGGCGGTTTTGCTGACGTCAATGTAGAACCGTTTCGACTGGATCTGTAGCATTTTTGAGCCGAGTTCGGTTTCATTGTGCGGCGCTTGACCTGGGAACAGACGAACGGGGTTGTTAGGGCATCCGCGGCGTTACGTCAGCCGGGCGAAGTGGAGGTGGTTCACCAAATACCACAGGGAACAGCGTACCGTCTGGAGGTCACTGAACACACCGGGCCACAGAGCGCCGCGCAGCGGAGGGGAAGGCCCATAGTCTACACCACCACCCACAGTCCAACACACAGTCGCAGTCTGTCGTGAGTCAAGTCACAGTCGGCCGTGAGTCAGTCACGTCGGCCACTGTCCGCGCACCGGCGGGGGCGGGGGCACGAGTTCCTGATGCCGTGAGTCACTCTGTCCACGTGGAGCGGCGGCAGCCGGCGCAGCCCTCCCATCAAACGTGGCGCAAGATAGGGTCAGTGGATCCAACACGAGCTGTGTGACCCAGGGTCAGTACACACTCAGACACCGCGGCGACAGACACGCTTACCGACCACGACAGAGGTCATACGCACACGCACAGAGCACAACGGAGCACACGACACGGCACAGGGCACACGTCACAACACCAAGCACCAACGGAGCTGAGATCCACAGCTACCACCACCAGAGAGGCCACAGCGCGTACCGAACACTCCGATCGAGGTGATGGTGTCCATGGCCGGCGCGCACGGAGCCACCCCGCCGCCGCGCGCCCGCCGCCGCCACTGGTCGCGCCGCGCGCACCACGTTCACGTTCAAGGCCGGGTGGCGGGCAGCGCTCAGCTCAGCTGTCGGCCGACCGGCCCATGGCGCGCGGCCGGCCGGCCCGCCCGCCGACGCCGCCATGTTGCTCTCTGCAACACTGCCGAACATGGCGGGCGGCTGGACGCGCGTGCATTTTGCGGGCACGCTGGGGGTGCCAAAATGGCCGACAGAGGGGTGCAGACGGGTTCCGGCGCTCGGGCCGTCTGGCGGCGCCGGCGCGCGGCTGGAAAGGACCGCCTCTCCCGCCCAGGGGGTGCAGCGTCGATGTTCTATTGAGCTTATTGTCAGAATCATCCCTAAAATGTTATTGGATCCTAAAAAGTAGCAAGGCAGGACGGAAATTGCATGGGAATGTAAGGAAAATGAAAACAAATATGGCGTCAGTCTTGACCCACAGTGCTACATAGCTCAGCCTGGCGAACAAACTCTCAACAATTTTCGAAACCGTGCATTCGGGAGCCTAAGTTTCTATAAAGTTTAGGCCCGGACACTGAGAAATCAATTGCTGATTCAAGACGAATAGCTAGGGAAATTTAATTAATATTTTGAATGAGAGCCAACGAAAGCCAATGAAGGAGGCAATCCGATAAATTTCATTCGCAAAAAGCGGCATAAAAGCTTTTCTCTTGCAATATGAACGAACCACTAGTTAGTTCGTCTTTGAGTAGGCATTCCGTTCAATTTTCGAGCGGGAGCCCGAGTTCATGCCCAATTTCTGAAAATAACAATGCACTTGTTGCCGAAAGCCTTGCCCACAAAATGCAGACACAAGTCTAATTAAACAAAAGCGTTTATTTTTGTCGACACGAATTGAAGTATCTGCAGGACATGATCCCATCAAGGCACCCCGCATCATATCTAATCAACTTTTTAGAGGATCCAAAGAAGACAGAGGAGGTCATGCCTAAAATGTATAATTTGATGCACACTGATAGCAATGATAGGAGAGAGCTATGCAAGTGTTATGAATAAATAAAAACAGTAGGTAAATTAAGATAACCGAAGAGTACCTATAATGACTTTGTTAATGTTTGCCGTTTGGGTAATCTAAAGGGACGATACCATTGAGGTAAACTTTGACGACACATCAGCAAAAGAGCGTTTGAAGACCTAAAATTTGCCTCGAATTGTTTTCATTCTGTGATTCAAAGTCAAACCATTGCCTGTAGCGGCAAAAAGGTATGTGCCGCCACTGTGTCATCATCGGCAAATCTACGGAGATTTAGGATTTGTTGTGACAAATAAGTGTGGAACAAAGTCAGGACAGCACGATCGAGTTCTAAAGTCGAGGAGAAATGAGCGAAGGATCTCATAGGACTCCTGGCAGCTCCAAGAACCAGACATCAAAGACAGTCTGATCGGATTCGGCCGGGTCAAAGGCTGAGTTCCCACGCGATATGCCAGGCCGAGTGGATGAATGAGTTCACTATGAATGAAGTGCGTGCGTAACCAGACAGCGACATTAAACAGACCGGATACATCTCATATCAGCCGGATAACACTAAGATAACCTATATAGCAATCTTTGTGAATCTTGGTAAGGGGAAAAGATGGTTTGCATGACATTTGTAACACATATCTATTGCAAGATTTGTAAAAGCAGTATAACTAAAACTGGCTAATTTTAATGTACTGATTGTAAATAAACCATATCTATGCCGGATCGATTACAACCACCGCAACGTTGTCTTCTGAAAGGGCATTGAGTAGCAGGCCGAAAGAAATTAAATAAAAAGGGTAAAATAGATGCCCGGCAAACTTAACCCGGCGGCCGCTGGGCCTCCGCGCCACCCGCCGGCCGCTGGGGGGGGGGGCATATAGTTGCCCCCCCTTTACTTCTGCGACGATATCGTCGCAACGCGAAGAGATAGAGAAGCGAAACTTTGCACACATCTTCCTGAATACCTAGCCGAGGTTGTGTCCAAATTTGGTGTCGCTCCCATTTGAAATGACGTCATAGTGACGTCATAAGTGAAATTATAGATTTGCGACTCTCATATTCCTCACGATACATCGGATATATGGGACCGCATATAAAGGGCCGATTATTGGTCAGAAACTAGATGGAAGTGTAGTTAGATATTTTAGGATGACAGCAGGTGCTGTCTAGTTCATTTACAGTTGAGTTTCATGCTCAGCGTCATCAGAAACGGTCCATATCGGAAAACGACAAAACTTTATGACGTCACTGTGACGTCATCTTAGGTGCTACAACCACCAAATTTTCCTCAAACATTGCCTAAGTATTCATTTGAAGCTATGCCAAGTTTCACGCTCGTAGCTCATCAGGTTTCGGAGATATATCACAAAACGTAAAGGGGGGGCAACTTTATGCCCCCCCCCCCAGCGGCTCGTGGGTTAACAGCTAGGCTATGTTGCATGCTGTGCTGGGCTGGATGGGCCGAATGCGATAACTAAGAAAATAACCTTCCACTGCAGATAAGCATGGCTTTCCAATAATTTGTTTACGCTTTTCAGGTGCTAATAAAAACACTATAATCGCTGACGCTCCAATATTCGAATATCGTTGTGTTCACAACGCAACGTGCAGCGCTTCGACGCCCGGCTCGCCGGGTTGGTCACCAACATATTCCATTGGATGTCAGTTGATGTCGATTGCAGGATCCCCCTCCCCCCTAGCCGTTTGAATATTCTATACGGTTTCCTGTTGTGAGTTGAGTTGACCGGGTACAATGTATAAACCCTCTCATGCTGTTCCGCGGTTAAAGGAACCCTCCCACCTTCAAAAAGTTAATGAATTGGCATGAAAGTGATGTCGCTCGGTTCAGAAAGAGCAAAAACGAATATCTACCAAATTTCATCGAAAAATATTCACCGGTTTTCAAGATATTAGACTTTTACTTTTGTTTACTTTTTGGGACCTCCGCTGTTCCTAGCGACTTTATTTGAAAGTGCGGCATTTGTTGCGCGCAAAGCAGCATATACCACCGCTTGCTACCAAACGTTTTAGTAAAAGATTTAAAATCGTTGGATCTCCGCTGACGTCACAAATTCTAAGGGGGCATACCAATGCATTAGCCCCTTAGAATCCGAAAACTGCAAGTTTTAAATTCGATATCTCCGAATTAAAGCATTTTTCGATGTTGTGAGTGCCCAAACCGGTATTTTCAGGCCATGGCCACCAATTTGGCTATCTCAACTCAAATCTAATGTTAAGGTGGGAGGGTCCCTTTACGCTCACATCTATTCTCACAAGATGCTGGCAGAGTGATTTTGAACCAGTGTTGTGCAACTATTTTAGCCAAATTACCCTTCCACTATCGAGTTGATAACAGGGCAGCCTTTCCTTGTTTGTCGATCGCTCGCGCGCGGATATGATAAGTTTTTGTTCAAACAAATTTCGGAGCCGAAGTCCGAACAACTCAAGACGGCATCCATACTGGCTTTAGCTGCAACATCAAACATGTTAACAAAACAACACGTTTTTTCCCATGCTCTTTTGATCTGTGTTCCATACATACCTACTTGTCATGAAGTTGTTTATGCCCACATTGTTAAAACGAATGACCTCGAAAAAATCAAAGTTCGATTTAAAAGCTTGTAAGACCGAATAAGGCTGAAGAAGATCAATAAATCATGCACGTACTTCTGGAATCTTATGCACACCTCAAGCATACAATTTTAATGCAGGTGACAAGTAACTTTTCAGATTTCAAATAATATACAGAAAGCAATGCAGCAATAAAAAACGCAAGTGCAACGCAACCGAGTCGGATAAACGGCGCATGATCAGCGGCACACAGCACCGGTATTACCCGATCAAAATTAAGCCGAGTTCCGCCCGGCATCTATGCCGCCGATCTCACGCGAGTAGTGCAGGTGGTTTCCCGTGACTCGTTTGCATGCACACCGCTGTGAGCACGGCTCACATCTCCGGCGGCCCTCCCGGGGTCCGGGAGAGTCCTTCCGAGCCGCTCTGGGCTCCGGGGACCTGTCGGGGGGCACCTGTCGTGGCACGCGCACCGCTCGCGCCGGGCGCCGCCGGTCGACAGGTGCCTATCGACACATGAATGGCGCTCACACGGCTCAGCCGCTCTCGTCCAACAAATACCGATCAGTCCTCCATTCACCGGGAGCCCTTCAGAGTACAAAGGGCCGGCCGTATCCTGTGCCCTTTCATAAAGCCGCAATTATCCTTCCGGCGCTCTCGACTCTTTCCGAAGCTAGGCCGGAAAGTAACATAAAGTCGCGCAGTAACCAGCGCAAAGCGCACCCAAGAAAGGTCGGCAAATTATGACCGAGCCGCCAACAGACTGACACGGTTCGTCGGAAGGTCATCTCAGGCTCAAAAGAAACGATATATACCATTCGAAAGCTGACGGTGAGCTGAATCCAAAAATGTAATTTTTATCAAAATCGATCGATGGCCTTTTTTGAAAATTGCGTTTTTGTAAAAACTTAATAATCTTTTATTCAACGGGCTGTCCCGGACATTCTTGAAAACATAAACATGTATTTTTGAGTTCCAGTGAAAGCTGAACGCCAAAAGAACAATATTTAGCGAAGCAATATTTCCAAACATTAATATGCGTCTCCCACAGCCGACAATAAGGCGCAATCACACAGCTCAGTGTCACGATGGACCAAAGTCAGCCACACAGAAGCGTGAAATGACCCTTATCGACTCGCAGACCCGGCGCTCTCGGCCCGCCTGACCGGCCACGGAAAGAACGTTCGGCTCTCGTTCTACTAAACAAATGTCAAATTTGTCAGTTTAACTGTCCACATCGCTGTTAAAGTTATTCAGGATACCTGTGAAGAAAATTCATTGTTCTGTCATCTTCACATCATGCATTAATTTGCATTTGTTCATGTCTACTTTGCTCAATTGAGCTTGGTATCATGCCCATATACGAGAGGAAAATTGGCCGCGCTGAAATGTCAGAGGTTGCACCGGCCTCAGTTCGGGTGGAGTGGGGGTAGCGCCCGGCGGGGCAGGGTAACCTTTGACCGGTCGCACGGCCGAGCAGCTGTCACCAGTACAGCCTCTGACAGTGAAACCCCGCTCACTTCCCCCGCGCGGGCACTGATCGCAGCTGGATGGAACAAAACATGTATAAGAAAAATGTAAATTAAAGCATGTTGTAAATCAAGCAGAACAATGAATTTTCTTCCCAGGTATCCTGAATAACTTTAACAGCGATGTGGACAGTTAAACTGACAAATTTGACATTTGTTTAGTAGAACGAGAGCCGAACGTTCTTTCCGTGGCCGGTCAGGCGGGCCGAGAGCGCCGGGTCTGCGAGTCGATAAGGGTCATTTCACGCTTCTGTGTGGCTGACTTAAGTCCATCGTGACACTGAGATGTGTGATTGCGCCTTATTTTCGGCTGTGGGAGACGCATATTAATGTTTGGAAATATTGCTTCGCTAAATATTGTTCTTTTGGCGTTCAGCTTTCACTGGAACTCAATAATACATGTTTATGTTTTCAAGAATGTCCGGGACAGCCCGTTGAATAAAAGGTTATTAAGTTTTTACAAAAACGCAATTTTCAAAAAAGGCCATCGATCGATTTTGATAAAAATTACATTTTTGGATTCAGCTCTCCGTCAGCTTTCGAATGGTATATACCGTTTCTTTTGAGCCTGAGATGACCTTCCGACGAACCGTGCTGACCGGTGAGGTTTTCTGAGCAAAACGCCCTAGGAAACCATCGCGTCTTCCAGCCGTCATGGTGACCAGTGCCACTATTCCAGGGGCAATGTCATCAACGCAGTGTAACGCCGCAACGAAGGAATCCGTTTCTATATGGACAATGGACGTTGCGTGATCAGGAGCAGCTATCCCCACGCCATTTACCTGACCCGGTAGGATTGTCCTTCAGGAATATCAAATCTCTCGGCCATCTCCATAACCGCAGGTTGTTTAAAATAGACAAACACTATTCGCTAGAATTGTGTTTTTCTATTGAAAAATAGCTGGAGCAGTTTGATAACCGCTACTTTCCTGGTCTTGGGCCGCTGTCTCTCGGAAACATCTCGTCCCTTAGCTTCCACTGTCCTAATATTGTCCCAGCCCTGGCCATCTCCCCGACCCTGAGCCACTGTCCCTTTAAACCGTCCCATCCCCGTTATCTCCCTAACCCTGTGTCACTGTACTTCAGAGCTGTCCCATCTCCTGGCCATCTCCCTGACCCTGACCATCAGACCCCCGTTCCCTGGTGACCCAGCGCGAGGTCCCCGTCCCATCCCTATCCCTTTCTGACCCTGTGTCACTGTTCCTCAGATCCCCGGTGACCCGGTGACCGGGCGCGAGGTCCCCGAGTCCGCGGACGGAGGCGGGGCGCGGCGGCAGCGGCGGCATGCGCGGCCCTGTTGCCGTCGCTATCGATCGCCGACGCCATGAGAGCCACACAAAGGCGGCGGGCGCGCGGCGCTCTCCGGAGGCCGGCGCACGGTGCGCGAGGCCGCCGCCCACCGCGGTAGGCTGCGGCACACGGCCGCGCGCGACACGCCCCCGTGACACCTCGCGGCGCGATACCAGACACAACGGCACAGAAAGGAGAGCATACCACGGTATAGCCAACACAGGACATACCAAGACTCGGCACGGGGCGACACATGACACGACATACCACGGCACAGCACGGCCGACAACCTACCAACATACCAAGGACACGACAGTAACGACGATGATGGACACAACGATGCCATACCACGGCAGTACACTCGTAAATACCATAGCATATCGCAGCACCATACACATCATACCATAGTAAGGAACGACACAGGACACACCATACCACATCACAGCGCGACACAGAACACACACATACTTTGGCAGCACAGCACGACACAGGTGGCAGGACACACATCATGGCAGCCTCATGCCGTCCTCAATCCGCCCATTCGTGGCCCGACCATCCCCGCTTCACCGAAAGGCGTCACAACAGCCGGCCGCATCAGGCATGCGGCAACACCACGGCCGAGTGCCGACACATCACCATCGATTAGGCGGACGCCGCGGCCCGCCACATATTGTGTCACGCGGCCAGACCTCTGCGTTCCATGGTCGCGCCTGGCACGTCACACAGCTCGGCACGCACCGGTCTGGCGCAGCAGGCATGCACCTAACCGGTGAGGCCGGGCTTTTAATCAGCTGTGATGTGAAACGGCCTTAATGTGACTGATATGAGCGGGCTTTGGGTCAGCGCGTTTCCTCGACAGTCGCGTGAGGCTTGGGATTAATGATATGAGCTTAGGGTGTCGCAGCCTTACAAGCTGAGCGATAAGAAATCAAGTGGTAGTCGGTCATTGCCAGCTCCGGATTACCAAAAATATTGTTTATTTTTTCGGCCATTGAGCTGAACAATGGCTGAAAAAATCAAATAAGCTTGATAAATTAGCATGAACGGCCAGTAATAAGCAAATGCATATGTGCCCGTGCATGATAACAAAAAAGGGCTGAACCATTCTGGAGAAGAAAATATTGACTCTCGCCGCAACTTTCAAAGAACGTACAAAACAGCATGAAAAAGTAAAACAAGAATGCTAATCAACAGCTACGGTAGTTAAGTTACCGGAGTTCATACACAGAACGCTAAGACGAGAAACGAACCACTACGAATCTTTCAAAAAGTTGAAACCGAGCTACTGAACAGTGAACATTAAGCACTGATTACCAGAAAAACCCTATATTACTTGCTTATTTTTTAATCTTCTGGAATCACTTCCAATCCCAGATGTCTGTCACACCCGCCATGTGTCCGTCCAGACCACGGGAGGTGTCTGCGCCGGATAGGGTGCACAGTTGGCGTCTATCGAAGCAATCACCAGGGCGTGAATGTAATGAGTGGCGCGCACCTACTCCACTGATAACCAAGGACCGAGAGACGGCTGATGGTGAGCCAGTGGCTGTCGACGGAGACCGACTCGCCAAGCATGACTGGTCCAGTGAAGCTAATCTTTCCTTCTCATCATCAAAAAGTATCAATGTGCGTCCAGTCGGTTTGAGACAGCAAACAACATTCAATGAACCACGCCACCAAGTCTAATATGCCTGAAGCCAGATGCTGCCATCAAACCACGGCGCCTCCAGCTTCCATCAAAACCACCATGCCCACCGCCAACGGCTTCTGCCTCGGCACGGCGCCTCGACCCGCCGCTCGGTTCCATCGACACCGGGACCGGTATCCGCATGGTAACGCAGCGATCAATGACGCGGCTCGCTTCTCGGTCCGGACTCGGCGTGCCATGCCATCAGATAGAGGAGCGCCGGCACCGCGGCGGCGCACGCACCCATTTGCGCCGTGGGCAGGCGTAAAAACGGGCCACTTTTTACCGGGCGGCAAAAACACAGCCGCTAGGGACAACAGTACAGTGAGTGAGTTCATTCATGCCGACAAGCTGGTGACCAGTGGAGTGTGGATCCATCCACCAGCCGTGAAAGTGTATCTGTGGATAGGTAGGTAATGCTGCGCCACTACTGGTGATATTTGGACGCGTCACCGTGCCACCAATGTGCAGACATCCCTGATTCCAGCGTGATGCCATGGTTGTCTCATAATCAAAACGAGTCATCAACGAGAGAGAAGGCAAGGGATCGAGTTTGAATTCGTTAGGACATACCTAAAAAAGAGACGCGCTTGCTAAAAGCACATGCTGTGATGGCCGACCGTAGTATTCAGGAGATGCCCTGATTAATCTCCCTATGTCACCTGCCATTTTGTATCTGCATGATGCAACACATAGGCCAAATGAACAGTGAGCACGGAATAGAAGAGAAGGGTATGACAGAAAACTGTTCAAATCCATAATATAACAAAGGGCTCAGTGTCATACGAGTTCTTCAAAGGAGAGAAAGCACATGCCTACATATTCTCAAAATTATAACAAGTGAAATTATCAAAAACACCATAGCCGGAGGCACAGTCGGGTGCCCACAACTCCCCTCCCGAGTTACCGAGTGGGACGGAGAGCGAGGCCGAGGTGCTGGCCACCAGTCCGGAGGAGGGCGGTGAGGCGGAGGAGGCACTGTTGGTTACTCCCAGCCCACAGTCCCCTCATTTACCGAGTGGCACGGAGAGCGAGGCCGAGGTGCTGGCCACCAGTCCGGAGGAGGGCGGTGAGGCGGAGGAGGCCAGAGGTCGGCGGCGGGCCGGGCGCAGGTCACCGCCGCCGCCTCCGTCCGATGACGGCAGCGGCGGCACCGGCGACACCGAGATCTCACTGCCGATCTCACGGTCTGCCGGACACGCAGGAGCAAGGACAGGGGGAGGAAGGTCAGACGGGGATGGGATGAGAGGCAGGACAGTCAGAGGAACAGGGTACGGGAGAGGAAACAGGACAGCCAGACTGTGAGACGGGAAACGGGGAACAGAGAAACAAGACAGACAGGGCACGGGATAAATGGATATATGACGACTATACGGGGAGCAGGATGAGAAGCAGAACGGTCAGACAAAGTATGGGATGCGAGATAAGACGGTCAGGGCCAGGGCTGTGGAGTCGGAGTCGGAGTCGGTCGGAGTCGACAGTTCTGCCCGTAGTCGGAGTCGGAGTCGCCAAAATCTTACCGTCGGGGTTAGCAATGCATGGCTCTAAGACATGCCCTACACCTGTTTGCTTGACATCACGCTCGTTGACCTTTCCGCAACACATTTTGACGAAGCTGAGGCCATGCTCCTGTTTTGGATGAGCGTTTTGAGAAAACAAGACAAAAAAAAAACAGAAGACCGCGGCTGTCACGGAATCTGCCATGAATTTAACCATCATCATATGGACTTAAAGGGTGACGAACGGAGTCGGAACTCGGAGCTGGAGTCAGAGTTGATTTTTAAGCCGGAATCGGAGTCGGAGCAGACATGTGCACGGATCTGAGCCAACCAATCACGGAGATCGAGCTGGCCATTAGATTGGCGGTCTTCAGGCATGCAATTATGGTTTGAAAACATGGCTTGTAGAAGCCTTTCAACAAACTATTTTGTATGCCTTCAGAGTTAACAGTTCTGAGAAAACCCCCAAGATCCATCTCGGATCCATAATTCTGGCTGATGGATCCGAGATGGATCTTGCGGGGGGGGGGAGGTCACAGAACTGTAAACTCTGAACGAATGCAAAATAGTTTGTTTGTTGAGAGGCTTCTATTAGCCATGTTTTATACCATAATTGCATGCTTGAAGACCGCCAATCTAATGGCCAGCTCGATTTTCGTGATTGGTTGTCTGAGATTCGTACAAATGTCTGAGTCGGAGTGACCAAAAAATCGAACAGGACAATCGAACAGGTAACGAGGTGGAGGAAGACACGACAGTTCGATGGGCACGGGTGAGCAACAGTGACCGTCAATGATCATAATCAGACGAGAGACGGAGCAGGGGAAGACATTACGGTTAGATAGACGGCCAGATTGGGACGGAATCAGCGAACACAGGACCCGACTAAGACTGCTCCGTCGGTTCCATATATTTCAAAACAATCACGGATCATAGAATTGCAAGAAACGATATCAAGGAGCGTAACTCAAGCTTTTGAAAAGAGCTTTCAAAGCCCGATTTCTGATAATTCAGCCCCACATCAGATCTCGTAGACATTAGATGCTTATGGATCCAGAATTCATTAGATACTGCGAACCTTGTATGTTGTTCGTAAAATGGATTTAACATCTGCGAAAAAGTGAAAAAGATTTATCGGCGTACAGATCACGGGAGTAAGTCAGCACGTGGCTTACATGCTAGAGTGAAAGGAAGACTTCTGTAAAGTTCTTGGGCTAATGAACTTCGGTTCTCAGGAAAAGTTGTTGGCGAAATCTAAGACAGGAAGTGAAAAACTATCTTAAAATACGCACATCTTGCAAACGGCAAACTGCCTGAAGTGTTGCAACGAGTAAAACTCAATTCAATAGCCCAAGGCAGCATGAGAACTCTCCGAATATTCAGACAGAAACTTTATCAAATTGAGTTCAGAGCTGGCATATCTCACGGTAAGAATAGCACCACAAAATTGGAAGCTACGCTAGATCCAATTGCTCAACTTTAAATCTTGGTTGAATTACCTTGGCAACAATATCACACATGACTTATCATTCGCATCTGTTAAAGGAAGGGTGCCACCTTCCGAAATTTTTGTTCTATGAATGTATTTTACTTATTTGAATTTTTAGACGTGGTTAGCGCGTCCACAATATACAAAAAACCGAAACATTGCATTTAATACATTGGCCAAAAAAAAGATCGTTGTTTATATCACCACTACAACTCAAGGTCGTTTGATGTGGCAGCTAGGACGGCTGGCATATCCTGTTGTCATGGCAACATATCATTCTGCCATTTGCATTGATAGCGCAACTGAGACAAAATGATGAACAAATAAAAAGGAAGAAGATAACATGATTTGAACTAAGTTGTAGGTAACCAAGTAGGTAACTGTTGGCCATATTTGCCAACAGTTAAAGAACATCAAATAAGTCGAGTAAAGGTTTTTCCTTTACAATGCTTAAGAGATCTATGGAACCCTTCACCCTTCATGCAACTTACTAGAAAAACTTCCCAATTAAAATTTTAAAACTTAAGTGTATACCATAAAGAAAAAATATACCCTTTCAAAATGATTAAACATGCTTCAAAAGTATAACTTTTATACATACCTTTGCTGATTTCATGTTTTATAAAATACCCTTAACACGACGAGGAAATAGTGCTGAAGATTTTTGCCTGCCCGAATGCTGGCAGCAAAACTCGCAAATGATAACTTCACGTGCGGATTCAATGCTGACCGTCTCGAGCATAGGTAAGTGAAGCCGGTTTTTAGGTTCATGTGAGGCTAATCTTGTAAAAACTGCGTTGTGTCCAAAAGGTGGCACCCTTCCTTTAATTAAGCCTTGAGACGATGGACAAAGATGCACCCCTAGACGCAGGCACATTTATGTAGTGTGCCAACCGGGGTATGCTACTTGGTACTGCCAGCAGCAGCGAGGGACAACCAGGAGCGCGGGAACTACCTTCAGATTGGGGAGGGGGCGGGGGGGGGGGGGCACACCATAATAGAGATCAGCCTTGGGTACCCCCAAATCTAGTTTTCTCACCAGTTTTAGACCACTTATTTTTCATCCCTTGGTTTTTTTTTTAACAAAAAAAAAACATTTGCAAAAAAAAAACGGTATTCCGTCTCAAAGTTGTGGAGGCACCGCCCCCACGGCCCCGAGTTGGGGGGCAAGCTGCCCCCGCTGCCCCCCCCCCCCGGTTCCCGCGCCTATGGGGACAACAATCCCGTCATCTAGCGACCGAGGGACGAAACGAACTTCCCAACAATGCCACCTGCCAGACGATATTGACGAATAAAGGAGCGATATTTACGATAAAAAGTTTAACCCTCGCACGACCAGGCCATTTCTCATAACACGAACGACCAGGGGGGGGGGGGGGTTGTTACGACCCCCCCCCCTGGCGTTTCGAAACGGAAGGTCGTAGAGCTTAGCGGAAAAAACCAACGGATTGCTCTCAACGAGATCTCGCGATTGGTGGTATATTTTTGGTCCTAGGTCAACATTTGACCTACTTTTGACCGGTCAAAGGTCAAATTTTCGGAAAATAGACTTTTTTCAACTTTCGGCGGCGATTGCGGCAAAACGGTGGGAGATATCGACTTGAAACCTTCACTATCGTGTTCCTTGATCAATTCTCTATCGTTTGGTATGTATTTCGTTTCCCTAGCTCTAAAAATGGCGCGTTGGGAGCGCCGGAAGTCGGCAAGGTCACAGTCGGCGGCAGAAATTCGAAAAATCAAAATTTAAATTTTTGAAATCTGATTGTAGTTTTTGATTTGGGAGGTCCATTTGCTCCCTATAGAAGCTAATGTTGCTGCATATTCCCATTGAGGTGACAAGAATTAGCAAAATAGTGGTTCGGGCGCTTTTCAAAAATAGTACCGGACGCTGTTCCTCTTGTGACGTCATAGCTCCGTGACCTGACCTGACCCGGTCAAATTTCTTATACCATATGATAGCCAATACTTGCCCCAACATGCATGGGAAGTTTCATCACGATCCATCAACCGATGTCCGTACCACCGGCAGGAAACCTCGGGCGTTGGCACTCAGTTTGTGAAAATCCGGCCGGAGGCTGTACCTCTTATGACGTCATAACTCCGTGACCTGACATGACCCGATCAATTTTTTTTCGGCAAAAGATGCGCAAAGGTTGCCCCAGAGGGTATTGAAAATTTCAGCCCGCTACGACAAGCCGTTTAGCGTGCACTTCGAAAAAACCTCAGGGGGGGGGGTTGATACAACCCCCCCCCCAGGCGTTCTAGGTTTAACTTTAAATAAAACAGCACACTGTACGGCTCAACGGTAAAACAAAAACCGATCGCTTCAACACAATTTCGAAACCATCGGAAAATAACTTAAGGAAGACCAAATACCTACCAAAGTAAAAACCCAACGGTCAAAAACTATACCTACTGATGAATTCCCCCAACCCCAAGTTAGCGCATGAGACAGGTTAAATATTTCTAAACTTCACAGAACAGTACAAAGTACAGTGCCGCGGTTCAAGGCATGCTTGCATTGTGTAAACATTCATCCATATTGCAACAGCCGGAAGCCGCAGTTTTACCTGATCCAATTCAGCGGAACAATCCAGCTTCAGCCAAGCTCGTACAGATGTTCTAAATATAATCAAATCCGGGTATAGCATCCAATCGTGTCATCCCAGTTCAGCCAAAATGGGAAGCGCTATGAAACATGTATCAACTAAAAATGAATCCTCATCAGGGTTTAGGAGCAGCATTAGTATTCACTCCATCTGTCCAAAATACCCGCCATCGGCCGATCAAGTGGAGCGTATGATCCACCACCGAAAATGATGATAACTAACACATAATTATGACTGAAATGAGTAATTACTGAAGCGCAATTCATTACTTCCATGTCACTATTGCTGCGAGTACGGCTGCATACATTCACAAAAGTGCGTATTGCCTTCGGTACGCAGCATCACGCGCTGCCATCGGCACTGCGTTGAGAGCTGGCCGCTCGCTGCCTATCACAAAGCGCTGGGCAGTGGGCGAGCCCTTCCACTGATACAGAGGGGCTGGTCGCCTGCTCTCAGTGGTAGAGAGGAGAGGGCTAGGCGAGTCCTTCCACAGACACAGAGGGGCTGGCCGAGCCAGTCTACCATTATGGAGGGTCGAGGGACTGGAGGAACCATGGCGCCGGTACAGAGGGGCTAGTTGAGACATGTTACCAGTGCATAAAGCTGGCCGTACCTGTCACGAAAACATACGCTCGGCCTTCCGCTGCCATCGCCGCGCAGAGGGCTGACCAGTGACCAGGGCTTGACACCGGAGCAAGGGTTGGCCGCCCGCTGCCGCCAGTACAAAGCTGAGAGGCTGGTCAAGCCATGTTACCAGCACAGAGCCCTGCCACCGGCATAGAGGAACGGCCACATTATGCTACCGGCTCAGAGCCGCGGCAGCGCCAGTCAACTGAACAGAGACTTGTCCACTCCCAGCTAAGTTACTAGCACACAGGGCTGGCCGCCCTCTACCACCCGTAAGGAGCCACAGCCTCACCATCCGAGCCGTGGAAGAGGCATAGCTAGCCGCGGCGGCGCCAGCCACCGGCACAAACTACACAGAAGGCTGGCCACCCATTGCCACAGGCACAGAGGGCTGGCCCAGCCCCCTGCCACCAGCACAGAGCCGCCTAGGCCTGCCACCAGCACAGAGCCGCCTAGCCCTGCTAGCGGGACAGAGCCGCGGCAGCGCCGCTGAGCTGCGGCAGCCGCCCAAGGCCACGCCGTCTGGAGCTGTGCCGGTCCACCGGCCGGCCAGACAGTCCGGTCCCGACCAGACCAGGTCCGCCGGCCGGCCCGCCCGGACCAGACCAAACCAGGAGCGACGGCCGCCCAGAGCACACGTCTGTTAGTAGACAGGCAGCAAGATTCGGACCAGACCCGACAGGACCAAGACGGGCCTGCCGGTCGGTCCGTGACAGTTTGGCCCAGACCAGTCCAGGTCCGTCAGCCAGCTCGATCCAGATCAGGTCAGGTACGGCAAGGTCTAGATCGGGGCCCCTGGCCAGCTGCATATGACTTAATTGTATTGTATTGTACTACATATTCCTGGAGCATCCACGGCAAGCGAGGTTAAATTATCCAGTGTCAACCGCATACATAAAACGAAAGGTACGGTAAAACACGCATTCAAAACATGCACAGGATCATGCCCCGGAAACAGCCTCTCTGTCTGTTGTTTGGCTGGGGTATACGACCAGACCCGGGCCGGGTCCGCGGCCATTGGCAACAGAGTGCCGAAAGCCAAGGTCACCGGCCGGCGCGGCCGGCGACATCAGCAGCGGGCTACTGCGCCGCCGAGTCTGCCGGCGGTGTCCGAACTGTCTGAGGGGGGCGAGGGGTCAGTCGGTCCGCCCGGGGTCCGCCACATCGCGATCATCAAACGAGGCCCACCTCAACTACCTGAGGTGTTCACCCCTGTCGGTCTCATGAGAAGTTACCTTTATCTTTTTATTTTTCTTTTCTGGGACACCCTATGCTAGATATCAAGCAGATCGGACGGTCAGAGACTCAGAGTAGTAACAGACCGTGCCGCGACAGTCTTGCCACGAATCGGCAGTGTCTGGAATTAGGGCTGTCCTTCAAGAGTTGGTTCTTTCACAACCATACACCGATTCTGAGGGACATGGTCAAAGCCGCACACCTGTGCCTATTTTTAGGGTTGTAGGCGGAAAATGTGCGCCAGCTCGCTACTAAGGTCTAAGTCAATAGCAGCAAGGCGATCTTGTCGTCTGCCAATTCTAGCAACAAACGAAACGGTAAATCAAAAACTGCACAAGCGGCTATTTTCCAAACGAAGATATTTCCTTCGTATCGCGTAGGCTCAATCTGATGCAAGTTGACCGAATTACAAGACCGACCATCTTGCCGAAAAACAATGCATGACAAGCGAAGCTCAGGAAACATCAAATTCTGAATATAGAAAGGAGTAATGCATTGCTAAATATAGAAAGTGTCAGGGACTCCGCCATCGGGGGGTCGCGGGGGTTCGGATCCCCAATAATTTGACCTTCGTGACGCCAACTAATGTACAGTCTGTCTTAATAGTACCGCGTAAAGTGACGGTGGATCCATCAAGCCTGACCGAGGAAGAATCTGCTATAATTTGAAAGTCACCGAACCAATTGAC